GCCTTATTAGCCTGAAAAAGAGCATAAAATAAATATATGTAATATAAATATAATAAAATAAGTATAAGAACAAATGCCAGAAAGGACAATAACATGTTTCCTTGAGTGCTGACTGAACAGAAGGGCAAAGGGACAAAATCTTCAATTCATCTTGGGCTCCAAAGGATGCTGGCAATAGAGAAACAGAATCATGCCTGCCATGTTAAATCCAATTAGACCAGGGATAACAAAATCAAAAAGAAAATGACATTGAAACACATAATGCAATAAGATCATGTTTAAAAACTTTACAAACATTTTTTCACAAAAATAAATATTTATGAACAATTAATTTTCAAAAGTTCCATCTCAGGATAAAAAGTCAAGTTAAATACCAATGAACTGAATAATTACATGGACACAAATTATGAAGATTTATTTGTAGTTCTTACCAGCTACCACGATCAATTGAATCCTCAATAGCAGCATCCAACATCTCAATCATTGAGGGGTGAACAAATGCTGTAACTAGTGGCATGCCCTCGGGAAATCTGGGCTAAATTGGAGAATACAACCAATTTTTTATTAAATTAAAACCATAGTAAATCATTCAATTTGACATAATTACCACATAATCTGTTTATTGCGTTATTAATAGTTCAACAAAGTAAATTACCTGCAAGTACTGAGTGGGCTGAGAAATTCCAAATTTCTGCAGAGAGTCATAACTGATAAAAGAGTTCTGTAAGCAAAAGAGACAAAATGAGGAATATGATACAGTGATGTTTATCTAACATGCAAAGAGAACATAATTAGTGATAATACTCAGTATGCTTACAAGTATGATAAACCAAAGATTATATGCAGTTGCACTTAATAATCTGGATCTGTTACTGAAACTTTAATTTTCAAAAGAAATGAAACTTTGAATGCATGTGATAAAACATTAGTAGATTGATGCAAAAGTGCAATAGACTACCAAGGAATAAATAAATAAATAGAATCAGAACCATCACAAAATTACATAAACAAACTTTGAGAGGCATATCATATGAGATGCATGAAATGCCTTTGTATAAGCATCCTTATCAAATACAATTACAAAAAATCCAAAGCAAGAGGCAACAGACCTGTGAGTAGAAAGAATCAACACACTCCTTTTGGGCAATAGCAAAAACCTGTTGCATGATCACACTCAACTATTAAAAAACTTGAAAAAGAAAACATTTTGAATTTCTTCAAAATATAAACTTGCAGACTCCTCAGATTCCCCTATTTCTTTATTTGGTGTATTTTCAGAGTTTACCAGGATGAAAGAAAAAGAGCTGAAGCAGCTTTAAATGTTTACAACTAGCACTACTTGAGAAGGAGAAAAAAATTATTATGAAGTAATTATCTTGCATTTTAAATCATTGAATTCTTCCATTGTAACTGTTACCTCGAGAAATCTGCAAAGAAGATGCCTTCCTTAGCATATAAAAGTGAGGTTAGAAAGTGTCACTTCACTTATCTCGAAACTGACTTTGATTTTTCAATCACAAACATCAAATGAAAAGATTAGGTTACATACAGTTGGAGTCCAATGAATTCCTGCACGAAGTGTTCCAAGAACCTCGGCTTCCTTAACCAGCCCATTGAAAAGGGATTGGAAGAGTGAACCTTCAACAGCTATACCAGTGGCTCCTTCCATTTCTTGCAGAAGCTGCTGCAAAGTGCTCCACAATACAGACAAATTTGTCGGTACGGTTATGCCCCTGGATGCACCACGAACCATGGCACTGACACGAGCTATATATGCAGGTGTATACAAGTGCCCACCTTCAAGTCTACCTTTCACCTAAAAAAGCCAAGTAGCAAAAAAATAAAACTGTCAAAATAAATTCTCCCTCTATTTTGTCTAAATCACAAAAGTAATTACTAGGAAAATAAGCTACCAAAGTCCCAAGGCGAGGCTCCAAAACAGATGCCACCAACTCAGAGCCAACATGTAACTGTGCAGCTAGTTCAGCTAAAGCAATTTGACTGCACTCCTGCAGTCTCTCATTGATTTCTTCGGCCACGGTATCCCAATAAGATTGTGATATAATTTCTCCTTGAATCTACATGAGCCCCGGATCCTCTGAAACTACATGTTGAGCTTGCTTCTCAACGTGATATAAATCCACCCCAGTATTATCCGCAAGATCAATCAAAGAAACACGTCCTATTTTCTTCACCTCTCCAGAAATTTCATGCCTTAATTGCTCCTACAATACAAATAGATAATTACAATCATAAAATTCTTAAAATAATTCACTTGTAACAAATCAAATACACAAGGCCTAAAAACAAAATACTCCATTAATAAAATTTTACACAACAATCCAGAAGAACCACGTGCATTTTCTAACATCATTTACATGATAACTAAACAATCGTTATAATACATTAGACAAAACAGAAAAAATCACTACCGCCTAAAACATCCGAGTGCGTATCTTTTACTATTGTGTTCCATATTTTCACCCTAGCCAAACATGAGAGAGTGAGAGAGCATTACGGGAGTGATATATTCTTTTCCGGAAACAGTATGCAGAAGTTCGAAATCGATGATACGAAGCTCGTGGAGTTTTTGGACCAATTCAACAACATTCCGCTCCGATAACCGGATGCTCGATTTAGCCTGCTGCGCGAACTCGAATTGCCTCTGCAATTCCAGCAATTAATCATCCATCTGTATTTCCCTTTCCAAATCTCCCCCAACTAAAGAAATTCAGCTTTTAAGGGATATTGTTTTGATAATTAAAAAAAAACCTTAAAAAACTGAAACAGAAATTAAATTTTAGGAGGAGATTTTACTTTCATTTTATGGTTTACACTTGGTCATTCAACTATTGTAATGTTTATTTTGGTCATCAAACTTAAGTTCTATTTTCACTTAAACGTCACTCTATTTGGGTGTAAGACCTAGGGTTACCAAAAAGGAACAAACCCACATGACCGTTGCTCTGAATTTTATTTTTATTTTTATTTTTGGTTACAGAAAAAAATTGCACACTACTTGATTCTAAGAAGGTTTAAATATATAAAAGGTGTCAAATCTATGCTTGTTTTTCTAGTTTAGTATCTAACGTTTATTTTATTTTAATTTGGTGCCTAACGTTTCATTTTGTTACTCAAAATAGGTCAAGCATTGACAAACCATTAGTTTTCTCCGTTAAATGACACGTGAGACAATCTAATAATTTTAAAAATTGTATATAAAATTAAAAAAAATAAAATTATTTATATTTTTAAAAAGAAAACACAAATTTTGAAATAACCTCAAAACTTTGAAAACCTTCATTTCAACCCTTAAACCCACACCGACCGTCGCCATTTCCCGTCAACGAAGCTCCACCCAACCTCACCTCCCTCGACAACCAAAATTCCTATGAAATCGTGATTGATCAACGGTAGATCGACGATGAATTGGAGTTTTATACCCCGCGAACTCTAGGATAAAAATCGCAATCCCAAACGATTTCAACGACCAATCGATGACAACTATGGCGACTTATAACTATGATGATGACAATGACTATGTCGATGGTGGTGGTTGTGGCCAGAAAGGGCGACGGCGGTGGGTTAGTGATAGACGACTTATAACTATGATGATGACTACATCGATGGTAGTGGTTGTGATCGAAAAGGGCGACGGCGATGGGTTAGTGATAGGGTTTGGAGATTTTAGGGATTTTGAGGCTTTTTTGTAATTTAAAAGAAAAAAGGGTTTTTTATAAATATAATAATATTTAAAATATTTAAAAAAAAATCAAAATTACGAGATTTTAACACGTGTCACTTAACGGAGAAAACTAAAGGTTTGTCACGGCTTGACTCATTTTGAATAACATAATGAAACGTTAGACTCCAAACTAAAACAAAATAAACGTTAGACACTAAACTGAAAAAAGGACATAAGTTAGACACCTTTTGTATATTTAAGCCTTCTAAGAATTATTAAAAGTTGATAAACTCTTTAAGCAAATAATACGGAAAAAAATAAATTGAGTCAAATTTAAATTAATAAGTAGATTTAATATATATATATATATATTATAAGTAGATTCAAAATAAGAAGATATTTATTAGTAAAAAATAAGGAATTAAACTCAATCATCTATTTTCACTCTTTCAATAATCCTAAATCTATGTAAAATTAAAAGAGTTTTATATTATATAAAATTATAAGTGAATATTAACTTGTTTATATATATAAAGTCAATTAAAAATAAGAATTATAAAATGAAATATTTTAAATGCTGTATTTTTTAACTATACTAAAATTATTTAATTATTTACTATTTTCCCATGTTACAATTTAATAGTGATTAATGTATTTTTTTAATATAACTTAATGTTATTAATTTAAATTTTTATTTAAACGTCTTTATATCCCAATTTGATCCAAAACGTTATATTATCAACTATTTAACAAATATAAGATTTGGGAGCACTGTTAAGGTCCACACCTAATTTCCTTTTCATTTTTTTTCTTATCAATTTGGTGATGATATATGTCAATATTATATGATATCAATAACAAACAAACAAAAATATGAGTGATTAAAATAAAAACGGAATTGAAGTTTAGTTTTTTATTTACATATTTTTTTATTTTTGGTGATCAAAATAAAAAGAACCGACAGTTGAGTGACCAACTATGTAGTTTATCCTTTTGCCCTTTTATTTTGTTTTTTCTGCTGAAGCTGTTGGGCGGAGAAAGCCATAAAACAAACTTTCCTCGACCTCCTTTGCTTGACTTAGGATTGGATGGAAACCCATTTTTTAATCTTTCCATTTGCAGAAAAAAAGAGCTTATAATGTTCATATTTAATATCATTTTGCTTTATTCTTTTTTATTGTTGGGATAATTTAAAAAAAAATACTAAATATGTATTATAACACAAACTGTAAATTGGTACAATCATACAGATAATTTTTATTTTAATTAAACACATAACACTTTAATTTTGATTTAATCATACTCATTTTTAAAAAAAATACATCAAAAATTATGAACCGAATGTCGTTGCTTTGAACACATAATAGGCAAACTTAAGAAGAGGCGAAATCTTGAAGAGAACAGCAGTCGTGAGGTAGCATCAGATGTTCTTGGAGGCTTCAACCATCAGCTTATAGAGAGCAAATCCACCTTGATGGCAGCCAGGCATTTTAGATGTCATCTGCTCTACTTCAATCTGATCAACAAAATGGAGTAACATGTTTAAACATGAATAATTATCCTTCATTTAGTAAAGCATTAAAAACTGTCTACTCAAAAGGAGGAAAATGGGGTTTTACTTGATATCACAGACACAAGCAGGAAGGAAGAATACAGGGGTAGAGGTGAAACACCTACCATTGAGACTGTATAAAGTTCAATGGATTCATAGCCATCTTGTGCTTTGGAATATAGTTGATGAATTTCTTTTGATTCAAGACTGCACTTAATAAAGAAAAAAATAACTGGTCTAACATTCAAAACCCTGCGAGATATGCCAATAAAAAGAGGATCTGACTGCAAGCAGGGAAAAAAGAGCCTATATCAGAATACTTTTCAAAGGATAATAATTACAAATGGACAATCAAATCAATTATCAAGGGATGTATATGTTCACTAGAAACCAGGATGCAACTAGGACCAGCAATATGGTTTCCTCGAACAGAAAAGAGCTATTAATTCAATCATGAAACTGCTATGTGGAAATAACAAAGTTGTCTTGCAACTATCTCAAGGTACATATGATGAGATTTTGGAGGAAAATGTCATTTTTTTCTATGTTATGTGCACTCCTCATGTTCCCTAGAGTAACCATATTTAGATGGGTATAGGTTATAAATTATAATCGAAAATTTAAAACTTTTGCAATACATATTCTCATATCCAACATTCACGAGTACGGGTGCGTGTATTGGCAAACTAATGCAACAATAAGGAGGAGCTATTTGGAAGAAATGACTGGCAGAGCTCTGCATATAAAATGTTTTGACAATTCAAAGCCATGAACAAAAAGAACCAGCACCAACAAGAAAGTGGCCGTCACTAACCAGAGAAGTAGTTGGTACTCCAATTTCCTCAACAACTTCACGAATAGAGCTTTCAAACATCTCTTGGGCAACTTTTTTATTAACAAGCTCATGATCTTTTGAGTCCTTGCTGTATTTGTGGGTTTCTATGCCAATGTCTCGAGGCTGTCAAAGCAAGGTATAAAAACATCAATGAATGCGGATAAACATGGTAGCTTAAATTTGTCCGCAAAAGAAAAGCAGGGTTGTCAAAGCAAGACATAAAAACATCAATGAATGCGGATAAACATGGTAGTTTAACTTTGTCCGCAAAAGAAAAGCAGGGTCTTGCTACCATAAAGAAAGAAAATCTATTGTTTACCATTAAAAAATGTATTACCTCAGGGTGGCCTCCGGGGAAAACAAAATGCCCAGGAAATTCACCAACATTATTACTTCTTTGCAGCACCACTATTTTCTTGTCAGATGCCTCCACAATTGCACCATTTCCAAGAGGGCTTGAGGTGTGTTGACACTGTGTCGGGTCATCTGCAGAAAAGTCCAGCTAATGGTCAATAGATGCAGAATCTCGCATGTATAAACAACAGTCAACAAGAGTGCAACTGCGTTTGTAAGTTCAAAGTTAAAAACTTCAGCTAACTGAACTCTATGTGCTAGAACTATTATATTGTTTTAGGCATGAAGGGGCAAAAAAAAGCGTTTGCTAGCTATAGTATATATATATATATATTTGTTAACTGATAACCGAAAAGAGAACGAATCTCATCTGCAGTGAATACTGTAAATTCATATCGACATACCTTCTGATGCAACCAAGAAATTTTCCCATGAAGGATTCAAGTTTGTCCCTACAAAAGTTCTGGTAACAAGTAGAGGTGTTGAATCGTTATTATATCAAAGAACATCAATAAAATAAGGTAAAGTAAAAGCTTTTGCAATGCCTGCAAAGATTTAAATAGCAGCCAAAATACAATGTAAAGGTTGTTGTTTTGCACTCTTCAATATTCACTGTCGACATTTACGGAAATTGGCCGCACTAACATCCACAACCCCAAAAAATGAAACACAAAAGAAATACTACCAGGTGTACAGTTTAAATGCAAATAGAGCTAAAGAGAGACCTATAATCTGTCAATCCGAGATGGAGGCATACATAAGACTCTTGCTTTGATCCATCTCCACTCTTCTCACTGTATCCTCCATACTGTAAAAATTATAAACAGTGCTAACAATAAAGAAAACTATTTTGAAGAAAAAAACAATCAAAATGAATTAACTTTGTGAATGTTCAAGCATGATCATCTGGGTTCTTGAACTTCAATACAAAATGGATCGAATTTTCTTTTCCTGAATCTCAAAAGAGTGCACCTAAAAGTTTATATAGGAAAAAAGTACATAAATTTAAGAGATGAACGAGATCGGATCAGATCATACCCTAAATTTCTTGCCATTGAATAAAGATCCAGTTTTCTGAACCCTCTGATCCCATGTCTAAGCAAAAGAAAAACATATTAATGATAAAAAAAAGTGCACAACTCGGCTTTCAAAAGCTTCAAAACTTTAAGTTTACCTCAGAAATGGAATTCTCCAAATTCGTATCTGAATGAGGGATTCTATCGTAGGATTCATCGAAAACTGCGGACAGCTTCATCCACCGAGACAAACAAATGAGAGCACAATAAATGAAACACTAAAGCAATTGCAAATGCAAGAGGGAACAAATCAGAGAAAGTTAAAACCTGTAGCCGAGACAGACCGAAAGGGCATGAAAATAAAAGCTTGTAAGCAAGAGAAGAACCCGCGTTACCCACTTCCTTCTCCATTTTTTATAACTTTTTATGCAAAAAATTACCACTTCATCAAAGTTTCGACCCCTTTTTTTCAATATATTATATTGGTTCAGGCTTCAAAGGTGCAAATGTAACGATACCACCAGATCACAAAGTCTTCCAGAAGAAAACAACAGAATTTCAAAACGTTGTCACGTTTCTAGTAGTTTTGTTCAGGCAATTGCTTTCAGTCTTTTTTTATGTTAATTAAGATTACATCTGGTTCCCACGGCATGGGATCCATCGAACGGTAGTGTCAATCAGATCAGAGCCCACAAATACAATGTCTCGTAATAACACTGATTATGAAAAATCTAAAGGATGCATAATGGGTTACTTGCCCAATATCTCAAAACTAACGAAGTGACTAAAAGTCAGAAACTCAACAGCCCAAAACATAGTCGGATAAGGGCGAAAAATATACCCACCATAGAGTGAATAACAATAATAACAGTTTGTTTTATTAAATAAATAAGAGCAAACAAAATAAAAAATTATATATTCTAACTAAATTTTATAAAATATAAAATAATTTAATTATATTAATTAATTATTTCTGCTCAAACAAATAAAGAGTAATTAATTATTTCTGCTCAAACAAATAAAGAGTACAAATTAATTGTTAAATAATTGAAAAATGATCGTGCAAAAAAATTAAAAACTCAATCAAACACTGAACAAATTACAAACAAACATCATTGTCGTTCATAAAGGTTAAACATCATCACCACTAACATAAGAATAGAATAATTATGACACATTGACAATTAATTTTGTCGCAACTTAAATGTGACAAATTTGAGGTGATCACTAACTCTTATTAATATAAGAGCATCAATTTGATGGTCCAAAGTAGGAGGTAATCAACAAACTAATTAAATAAACGTAAATTGTAAAGATGGTAGTAGATTCAACTCAAAAATAAATGTGCTAAAAGAGTAAATAAAAAATTTATTATTTTTATAAGGAAGGAGGAATAATTATTAAATAAAATAAAACAACATAACTCATATATGTAAAAATAAAATAAAAAGAAAACTGAAAAAGAGAAAGAGTGATGAGAGAAAAACCAGATAAATACAAAATAAACTAGAAGAAAAGAATGAATAACAGTTGGGTCAAAGGCTAACGATGTCATTCATCTAAACAAATAATGAAAATCATAATCAAGATAAACAACCTTTAAAAGATGTGTAAATAAATAATCAAATTTATATCATATAGTAAAATTTAGATTGCCATAATTTATAATTAAATCATTATTTGATGCACTAACTTCTTTTCTATAAATAAAATAGACACATAGCAAATGTTTTTAAAATAAAATTTAAAAATAAATAAATAAAACATTTGTCACTATTAATTGTTACGAGCTTAATGTGCATATGATCCTAACAAACAGCAACAGAGGGTAAAGGCCATTAAAATTTCCATTATCTGTCTTTCTTGTAGATAGAAATAGAGATGAAGGGTTGAACTTTATGTTCGGGTTGAAACATGGATTGTGAGTGAGTGAGAGACCAAAAAGGGACGACAACCAACGAAACCCATACAGGGTTTTTCCTGGTATTGTCAGACTGTCAGTTAAACCAAAGTTTTTGCATTAGTTCAGAAATAAGGAGCAACGGGTGGCTTAGAACCGATGAGCAATTCATGATGTTCATGCGTGCTGCACTTTAAGCAAAAGGTGGTTCATATGGACCACTAATGATTTATTACCATCATTAAGAATTTTGAGATTGCCTGGGCTCTTGCAGCTGTCAGGTTTTGCTTCTCACCATGGGAATAATATGGCTGGCGTTGTACAGTTGGTTATAAAAACCACCACCCATGATCCCATACAGGCATACACACACTCATATATTAGTATATATGAAAGTGAATATTTAAAAACAAAATGGTAGGTTTCTTCAATTATACTATGCTTTTTCTCTCTCTTGAACCTATATAAAGTACATTTCCTGAATTTTTCTTTCATTATCATTTATGAGGAGTACACATAAAGCAAAAGACAACTTTTTTTTTTCTTGAAATGGGCAAAAGACAACTTTTTTTTTCTTGAAATGGGTAGAAGACAACTTTTTTTTTTTCTTGAAATGGGCAAAAGCCAAAACATGAAAGGCTTTAATGGACTTGTTAATTAGTAATTTTTTTTATAAAAGCGGCTAGGTTTTTTTTATTATTAAAAAAATATCTAAAATTACAATAAAAATTTACAATCATACATATACTAAACACCTAATTAGAATTTTTTATATAGTCATTAACACAAAACTAATTACTTAATATCGCACAATGATTATAAAGGGAAATGGTAAAAAAAATTAACCAAAAATACTCGAACAAAAGATAGATACGAAAAGATTAGTTCTCATCGACAAACGAATTACAAAAGAAGATAAAGCTACTAAAAGACCATCGACAAACCACAAATCAGAGTTGAACAATGTGAAAAAACTATCCACGAACGAAAATTGTGTATCTAAATCTAATATGACACTCTAAAACAGAGAAAATCAACATGATAACAAATGTCACCTTGATCAGTTGTTGTGACGATGTTAAATCAAACTATAATAAAAAAATTAAAACAACAGTCAAACGACTAAAAATGTGTCATAAAAAATACAAAAACGTACCATAGAAAAAAAAAACGTGTCACAAAGATATAATTATTAAAAACTAAAAGGAAAAACGTATAAAAAATCAAGAATAAAAAGGAAACCAAAGAATATAGTATAAAAGAGAACAAAAAAAATAATAATCACCGGTAGTCAACAATTAATATTAAAATTAATATTACCGTTGATAAAAAAATCTAAAAAAAAAATAAGAAAGCAACACAAAAATATTTAAAAAAATAATTTAAAGGAAAAAAAGAGAAAAACACAAAGTACTAAGTTTATTATTCAATCAATTGTTGCAAATCAAGTGCTTTTTCTTTCTTTCTTTCTTTCTTTCTTTTTGGCTCAACAGAAATTCATTTTATCAATTACAAAAAATAGCCACATAACATTCTATAACATAAAGTCCAAGCAAACACAGTCACGCGCCACTGTAATTGTATGAGATATTTTTATTTATTGATAAATAATGATTGAAGAACCAATAATAAATGCAGATTTGTATATATTAAAAATTAAATTAGATTTAATGTAAAAATAAGTCTTCAAATTATATTTTAAGTTAAATATAAGTTTTTAAATATTTTTTTGGTAAAAAATAAACATTTAATATTTTTTTTGTTACTTTAAGGTGCCTAATATTTTTTCTATTACACTTTTAGGTGCATACATAGTAATGGTCATTAGAAAAATTCGTTAAATGACACATTTTATGTTTATATTTTGGTTTAATGCAAAAATAAATGTCTAAATTATACTCAAAATTAACTTTAGGTGCCTAAAAAAAATTTCACTTGAGAATACTTATTTTATCTTAAGATCATTAAATGAGTTTAATATTTGTGAGAAGGATTTGATTAGTGTTTTATCTTGTTGAATGAATCTACCGTTTAATTATTGTTCACATCTATTTATTGTTATGATTCTTTTAGCATGAAATTATGACAGTAAATTTTAAGTGAAGCATGTAACGGGTATATATTCTCTTATTTATTTGATTTATAATAATTAGATATTGTTGTTTTATTTTATGAGAAATATATATATATATATATATATGTGTAATCACCAATTTTATCCCAAATCCGACCCGACCCGGTTCAAACCCAATACTCGGATCCAACCCGATTGACTGACCCACTTAGCTGTCATCTCTAACATCCCACGTGAATCGTCATCATCACTCCCATGCCCCTATGCCTGCAACACAGTATCAATCCTATGCTGAGTCCATCATCATCACCAAAAAACCATCATAAATTAAAGGAGGTAGAAGATAAAGGGGGGAAGGGAATAAAAAAAAGGGGAGAAAAACAGGGGTTTCGATTCTCAACAGAGGGGAGCAGTGGAGTTCTCGGTTTGAAAAATGTAAGGAAAAGGGGAAGATGCTTTCGATTTCCTTTTTGGGTAATCGAAAAAAATAACAAACTTGTAAAAGGAGGATTTGGGTCTCCAATAAAAAACCTGAACATCAATACAAAGAAAAGAAATTTCAAGGGTAAAATCATACATCAGGTCCTCCTAGTTTTAGCGTGTTTTCGTTTTGGTTACCATCAGGGTAAAATCACCTTTAGCTCCCTGTATCTTTCGCATGTTTTAGCATTTTGGTCACCCAATACCTCATTTTGCTATTTTTTTATGAATTTGACATTATGGTTCATTTTTAGTATAGTTTAGTCATTAATTGCTTGGTTATTTCTCTAAACTTGGCCACTGTTTCTATTTATTTCATTTTAGCCTTGTATATTTATGGTTTTATTACAATTCTGGTGCTCTTGTTACATGATTTTTTTGTTTCATGCCTAGATGTTAGTTTATTTATATTTATGATCTCAAATTTACTTTACACTTATTTTTGTCACTAAGTTACGAATGAATGCATATGAATATTGTTTTATGTTCTAGGTATTTATTTTACTTGTATTATTATACAATATTTTATGTGCATAAGATTGTATGTAGAGCATGATATAAATTTTATATTTTTTTATTTTATTTTAGAATAAATATTTGCTTCTATGTTCAGTATAATATTTAGAAAATATTTATATATTTTTAAAGTAATATAAAGTTAAAAATAAATTTAGAATTGTTCTTTTAATCCATGTGTATTTATATTTTTTTCTCTAAGTTCTTCAATGTATCATATTTTATTTTGTTTAAAAGCCTCATTAGCATAACTTAACCGATTACATAATTGGATTAAGGGTAGTATTTATGCATTTTAAAATATTAAGAAGGGACATTCTTACAACTAGATGTCATTTTTCGATATTTTAAAATAAATAAATATTCCCACTTGAGAAACCTAAAAAAATTGATTGCATTGAAAATTAATTAATTTTGAAGGGAAAATGAAATATTCACTATTTTAAACTTATCGAGACAATTTGTTAATTTTATTAGAGATTAACTCTCGACATTTTTAAATTATTGAATATCACTTATCTTTTCTAATAATATAATTCAGATTAATGAATTTAATTTCTTTCTTTGGTAGAATAAAAATTATTTTAATATTGATTCTTAGGAAAAATTATTATATTCCTTTTATTTCAGTTGGAAAGAGAAATATTCGTCCTAAAGTATTTTAGGGAGTATTTTCTCTTCAATTGGAAATAAGATAATATTTT